CCTTTGAGTTTATTTAAAAAAGAGTTAACATATTCAAAAATTTGAAATTTTTTAACTTTAAACTTTCTTTTATGTTTTCTTAACATTGTGCGCTTATAGGCAAATAAATTATGACACATTTAGAATACTAGTTTAAAATACTTCAATTATATCCAAAAGTCTTTTATTTAACAGTCAAACGTATATAAAATAAAATGGGGACTCTACAAGTGAAAAATACAACTATAATAGCAATATACTCAATATAATAGACGTTACTTCAGTAAAAAATTCCAAGAGAAAAAATGGAAAGAAGAAATAAAAAGGGTGAGGTGAATGGTCCAAGACGAATCAGGTGTACAATAAAAACAAGGGGTTGCAGTGGTCTATCGTTATCAGATATCTGGTGTGGCATTCTTTCATTTAACATTCTTACATACAGCTTCGCTTCGCTTCTAGGGTTTTCCTTTTAGAATTTTGAGACATAGAATGAGTGCTCACATGATGACCTCATGATAAATGGCCCCCACTAAAAAGAAAGACAAGACGTGAATTTGATCAGTTGTTTTAACTACAATAGAGAAACTTCTGCACCTCTTTGCTTCCTTATTTATGCCTTTGCCTGTTGCCCCTCTGTATTGTCCCTCTCTTTCCCAGTTTTGTTTCCTTCCCTAACTCCATTTATTGCTCCTCTCCCCCTTTTTGTTTCCACTTCTACTTTCTTATTTTCTTCAATTCAATTCCCTCCTCTTCCTACCTTCTTCTTTTATATATCTCCTATACTTTCTAAGATAAAATAGAATTCAATTATAAAAAAAAAATAATACTCTATTACATAAATCATTCCGTGTTCAAGTAAGGTAGGTGGCAGGGGCGATGGTACATATCCTGAGGGTGATCAACTTATCACCCTTTGTCGAAAAATTACACCGTATATATAAGTAAAATATTAGATTTTAATGGTATATAACATATATTGAACACCCTTTATCGGGGATCTTTTTTAATTATTTCAAGTTTGAAACACGCTAAATGAAATTTCTAGCTTCGCTACTGGTCCGGGGAAGGGTCCGACCAAAGAGATGTGATGTAGACAACTTACCCCCTAATACAAACATTAATATCTGCTTCCACGGCTTGAACCCATGACCTATGGGTCACATGGAGATAATTTTACCGTTATTTCAAGACTCTCCATCAAATTTAATTATACTGCAACTTAAAAATAAAATATCAAACGAAGTATAGTTTTATAGATTTAACTTATATATACTAATGTTATACTAAGAAGTATCTTATCTGCGTATGATATCTTGTTGTAGCAAGGAATTTGATGTAACTTTTTGATTTGTTAATTCCACTTTTTATTACATTTAGATGTCATGATATAGTGCAATATGATCTTTTGCAGCAACGTGATTATCATTTGTAATATAAGGTCCCTGTGCCACCATATGGGAGATTTAATTGAGAAACAAAATAGTGTAAGAATACAAAAGAAAAACTCATTTTATTGTGCACTAAGTCAAGAAAACTGTTACAATGCCTGAAATGACTGTCAAGTTGACCCAACGTTTTCTATAGATGATCTTTGATATATTTAATAATAAGAAAATTCAAAGCATCTAGTTGGGTTGTGCTAACTCATGACCTTTAGGGTTGTAGCATGTATATGCTTGACAGGGGAAAATGAACATTGGGGAAGAATTTGAAATGTCCTCAAAAACATGGTGGCTAATTAACCAAATTAACAGGAGAAGGATTAGCCATATCGATTCTAACAAATTAAAGCAAAAGAAGTGGGATATGTTTGTTTCGTATACTGACAATAAGATCGTGGAAAATAATGGAAAAAAACTATATGAGTTGTTGAAAAAAATGATTTGGATGTCACTTTTTGAAGAAAAGATAGATCCCTTTTTTTCCAGGTCAAGGTAAAAGTTAGGGTAAGAAGGAGGCAAAAAGTACACTTTGGCATGGCAAAGATTCTCAATCACCACCCCCCACTCTACAGTTCTTTTATCTCCTTTCTTTTCTTTATTTTTATTTTTATTTTTATTTTGCAGTTTGTACACAATTATATTTCTTCTTATTCGTCCTTGTCTAACAGCTTGGATACAGATCTGTTCCTTTTCCTGAATTATGATTAGCATGCAGATTTGATGAATCAAGTCTCATAGAATTTAGTACAAATATAGAAGTGAAAAAGTGGGGAAAAATCGATCGGAACATGCAGTGTCTTGTAAAATCTTATATAGTGACGAATTCAATCCCTCTCATATGAGCTTATAATTCGAACAAAGAATCAAATCTCTAAAAGCTTACGAAAGCGCGATAAAGAGCATCTTTGAAACCTTAGCATGTCCCTCAATATCTTTAGATACTTAATTAGGATGCATTTTGATTTCAAAGTGATAAATGACCTTGAAATGCATTTCGATTTCAAAGTGATAAATGACCTTGAAACTAGAGACAAAGCCGAAATTTGAAATTAATAATTTTGAACTTGCAATCGAAACCATATCTCGTTTTAATTACTGGATGTTATACATTTGATTAATAATTTTTTTAATACAATTGTAGGTAGGGTCTAAGAAAAAAGCTGCACGGTTCGTTCAAATCCCCTAGCTAAGCCAGATGCTAATTTGTAAATCACATAATAAAATTGTTGGTCATTCAACTTGAAACTCTCTGAATATGTTGAATAGCGTGAACATATGCAATGAGTTTCATCTCAAAATTAATTAATTCACAAGTGCAAATAGCTTTTGCGTATGCAAATGTACGTACAAGACATTTACATCGTGTACTAAACCGATTTAAACCCAATACTGCCTTGATATATTTCTAACTTTTTCTTTGTTTACCTAATTTATGAGTATCTGGCCACCAAGTTTTGTTACATTATCTAAAACTGTAGCTATAAAACTGTAAAAAATAATAATAATGAGTATAGTTCGCAAAATAGCTTAAAGATTGTTGACTGGCTCAAGACTCCAGGTTGAATTCCTAGCTTGCACAATTAATGGTTGAAAAAACCATAAGCTAGGATGTGTTGTTACCTCAACTATTTTTTTACTGTTTGGCTCAATAGAATTTGAAAATAAAATAGCCTATTAAGGTGAAACAAATCTTTGAGAATTACATTGGCGGCCTAAAATGGACTATATATAATCTACGGAAAGAAAATTAATGTAGCAACCTCTGCAAATGCGATTTATCTTCGTTAAGACTATAGGATACAAGACATAAGAATTTCATACTCTCACCCACCAAGATAGAAAAAAAAAAAAGAAAAGAAGAAAAGGAAAGAAAAAACTGACGATACTGATAACTCAATAAAGGACATGCATAATGTGAAATATGAATGCATGATATTGTGTAATACATGTTAGTACAAAGAGCTCATGAGCTACAAAGAAACACTCAGAAAACCACGAAGAAAAAGTCAAAAAAGTTTTACCAAAGAAAAAATCAAAAGAGAAGGAAAGAAGCAATAATTCAGTGTAGGTTAGAAAACCCACAGTGTTGTCTGTGAAAGAGCCTTAGGAGATTCACGAATTGTCTAACATAACAAAAGGTACTAACCACTGCCAAAGATAAAATTGTACGATAAAGAAAAACGAGGACCGCAAAAAACCCTAGCTAGCAGCTGGAAACAAAACCTGCAGGCTTTAAATTTCGCCTTTTTCTTTCTTTCTTTCTTTCTTTCTTTCTTTCTACATGTTCAGTTTGAGTTAATTCTAAAGTTACCCTCTCATTCTGATTTTAATTCTGTTTGTCAATGTGTAATGGCCCTTCCCTTCTGAATTTCTTTTAGACACTCTCTGCATGTACATGGCTCAGCATCGACGTGTCAACTTCTTATTATCCTTGTAATTCTGCTGCTATAATTCTAACTTTGCATAGAAAGCAACTGCTCCTATTTATTGGAAACTATGGCGTTTCCATGCGCTCTCAAAGGATAAATCGAAAGCAACTTCTCTTAATATAAAGTGAATTTTTGTGGAACTCAACTTCAAAACTTATCTCATACTATAAGATAAGGATTGCTCAAAACTATATTAGGGAACATTGGAGTTTGTTTTCCCAATCATGTTAAAAATATTATACTTAGCTTGTCCCTCGTCGGTTGTATAAGGGTCTCCAAATTAGATGGTCCTGCGTTACTCCACATTATACTTTAAGATTTTGGATTGGATATACTCAGATTCTTTTGTCATTGTGAGACTATCTTACGAACTACATATATGAAGTGTGGACAATATAATATGGGGAATCCAACATTGAGTAAATCAATAAATATAATAGTTTGATTCTTATACCATATTAAGAAAATGAACCTTAATCAACCCAAAAGCTAATTCATAAAACATGGACCGAACAAAATCCCATAAGAAGATAATAACAAGCTATTCATGATCGCCGATCGATACTGATCAAATAATTAACAATAATCTAAACGTGTTAGAATATTAGGCGTGCATCTTCTGTTTAATTGGTTCCAATGGCCCCACCCTCAGCTTACGCTAGAAAAAATACCACTCTAGTCACATGTTCTTTTCAAACCGAAGCATACAGTCGTTTATTTCTTTTTAATTTTTGAATAGAATGTAGACTCAACTTATCCTATTCTATATATGTCAACCTTAGTGAAGGACTAAAGGGGAGGAGTGTAAAACTGTGATTAATGTCCAAATCACTTCAACATATAAACTGATCAAATCCATATTTCAATTTTCATCATCCATTTCTGAGTCCCTTGTCAACGTCACCTTCATTATCTTCGCCCCAGCCTAAGCACAAAAAAACATACATAGGGAGTATATATATATCAACTTTATAAGAGTCAAATTAATTTGCAGGAGCAATGACATTTTTGGCTAAACAAGAGGCCAACTGCTCTCAACATCAGAATTTCTACGATAGCTACAACTTAATTACCACTAAAAATAAGAAGTAAAAGCATTTCATAGACATGGTCCAAATGCATTTTAAGGCAATCTTTGATTTCCCGAAATGATACATATATCATTGAACCACAACATTACTAATAATAGGGGGGAAATCCCATCATTAATTTTAAGTTACATAAATAGGAAGAGACTAAGAAATTAAAGCACCCGGTCTCTAGATCCCTTAGTTTTTAAGTGGAAGAAACTCAAAAAACTGGTAATGAGAACCACTAAAGTTACTATTCGAGTTAGCATCGGCCCCTGATATCTCTACTTCATCCTTCTCTGAAAGATTATTATCGTCGTTGCTGCTGCGGAGAGGAAACAATTCAAGGGTCTGAGATTCTTCCTGGCCAACATCTCCAAGATTGTTTTCGATATTTTCGTGTTTGTTATTTTCTGTTCTGAAGGGTGCTATAAAAATGTTGAGATGATCTTTGGTTTTGAAGAGTTGCTTTGGCTCCATTGTCGTTCTTGGTGTTGATGGACTACTACTGCAAATTATTGGAGTAGTAATAGTATTACTGATTGATGCAGTAGATGAGTTGATGTTCATGAGATGATGATGGGGGGTGGTGGAGGTGGGAGGTGAACAAGACAAATGCATCATCTGCCACGTGGCATTCCTTTGATCAGCTAGTAATAGGCTCCTTCTTTGTTCTCCTTCATCGAGTGGTATCCATCTTTCTGCTGCTATTCTACATTCTGCCACTCCTGCTGCTTTTGTTGTTGCCACAGTTTTCTGTAAATTTATTGCAATGCAAAAAAGAAATCATCAATTTCCTTGTTACCACTATTTCATGCAACGTTTATTATCTTTCTCGAGTGAAAAGTAACAACCCTAGTTTGACCATTGTTCATAGGCACAGCAAAATGTTTAGTTTCTCTATATATGAATATCATTACTTCCTGATTTGATAGAGCATTTTACCTACGCTATATGGAAAGTCAAATATCACTGAAGAGGGTTTGGAAATGTCTTTTCGTGATAGGATGGATCATGGGTGCCCATATCACTTGTCTAATAAAATGTAAACGCACAAAATCCCAAAACCCTAGCTATTTAGCTATTCATTCAACTAGCTACGTACGTACAGAATTGGCAGCCCCAACAGAAAGGAAGAATCACAGCTTTTGGACCCTTTTATATTTCCCAAGAAATATTGCTTTTGTTAATTTACTGCCTAGCTACGGCGTGATCAATAAATAGATCTTCCTTTTACATCTTAGACTTTTTTTTTTTTTTTTTTGAAAAAACAAAACAATATCTATATTTTTTCTATGATCTTGTAATCATAACAGCATAATGGCCTGTTTAAGGAATTCTAATTGCTTTTTTGGTTATGAAAATGAGAATGGAGAGTCTAAGGAGAGAGAAAAAAAAAGGCAAAGTGAAAAATATATAGGGAATTAAGGACCTCTGCAAGAGTACTGCAGTTTGTTGGGGATGGCCAGTTCTTGGTCTGTTCAATTTCAAATCCTGTCCTATTTGCCCCTGCAAGATCGACGACAAACACAAAAACAAAAGAGTAAAGAAACTTTTTATATCTCAAGCAACAATCCGAATGGAAGAAGAATCATATCTCTCAAAATCCAAACACGAATGCAACTTTACATCTTAAATAACAACAAAATGCGAGTGGGGATGGATTGGAAAAGAATAAAAGAATATTTAATGTATCATCACACGCTATCAAACAAATTTCTCTTTCATGTATCATTCTCATTGCATGTCTTTTTGTTAAGTTGCATGTTGTGCACCACCCCTTCAAGATTTATAACATAATACTTGTTCTAATTTTCAAGATTTTCACATGTATAAATATTTGGAGTTTAAATAAATATTTGTGAGTTGAATAAAATCATCATGCGGCGGAGCCATGTTCATTGAAGGGGTTCAACTAAATCTCCTTCGCTAGAAAATTGTACTGAAAATCCTTTTATATATATATATATATATATATCATTATAAATCCTTTGATAAATTTCTGATTTTGACCTGGCTTAAACTATACACAAGCAAATGGATTAACGTATACCTGATTCTTTCCTTCCGGTGTTTTCTGCGTTACAAATACTACGAGACTGATCATCGCCACCAGCAGCAGCAGCAGCAGATTCAAGTTGACGGCGTCGTTTTTGGCGTTCCCTAGCCTTGTGATTTTGAAACCAGTAAAAAACATTCTTGCCTTCAATTTTCCCATAACGTCGAAGTTGAGCAGTAATATGCTGAATCTGTTCAGCAGAAGGAGTTCTCGTGCCACGTCGATACAACTCCTCGAGGGTTTGAAGTTGTTCTGGAGTTGGATTCCAACGTGAGCTCACAACTAATTGTTGTGTATTAAAATCTCTCTTATTTTGCTCACTCATAGCTGAGGTGAAAAGAAAAATTGTAACCATTAAATTATAAATATGGCTAGTCGTTAGATCTGTTGATATATGACTTTTTTGATATACGAAGTAAGACAAAGTATCAATGTCACGCATGCAAAAAAAGGAACGGAAAGGGAAAAAAGAGAAAAGTAGAAAGACAACTCTATATAGTATATATATAATCTCTAGCATTTAATTACTTACCAAGCTGATGGTGATTAAGTGCAATAAAATTTTCGCCATGAATACTTCTTAAACAAGTTGGATTAGTAGAAATATTAGCAGTGGGAAGATGAGGGACTCTTGGCATTAGTGGACGAAGCTTTCTTCCATTGAAGGAATCCTGCATGTTGAAATCTCCCCCGTCGTTGTAACCCATCATCCACATTTTTTTTTATCTCTAATTAAATAAAAGGTTGCAAAACAAGGGCTTCTTAATTATTAAGAGATGGGGCTTATATAATTAGTTCAAGTGGTGGATGTTTTGGAGTTACTGAAAAGGAAAAGAAGGGAACTTAGAGAAAGAGAATGGAGGTGATCTTTTTAAGTTACAAGAATTAACTATTAGTGGTCAATCGGGTTTCAAAGTAAGAAAAGGCTTATATTGTAATGGTAAAAGTAAAAGAGAGAGGAATAGGGAGAATAACTAAAATGGGTGACTTTTAAGGGGGGGAGCTGAAGACAAGGAATTTGGCAAGATTCAGGAGAAAGAGACGGAACAATAGAGACAGAAAGAGAGAGAGAAGGAGAGAGACAAAGAAAGAAGATAGAATGGTGTTGGTTTAAATTGAAAAAAAGTGAGCAAAAGATGAGGTTGACTAGGCTTGAATTTTACAAATAAAATTATTTTGACATGTAGCTTAGTAGTAGTATGTAAGGACTAATATAGACTAATATCTCAATTCTCAAGGCGTGAGAGAGGAGACAAATTAGACAGAGAGAAAGAGAGAAAAGGAAAGACTGGCCTGGTGAGAGAGAAATACTGTATTGAAGAAAAGCAAAATGGAAGGAAGTAAAGGAAAAGGGGAATTAAGAAGAGAGAATGAAATGAAACAAAAAGAAAGAAAGAAAGAAGAAGGCGTGGAATTCTGGGAGAGGAGAGAGTTATCGATAAATGTGAAGGAAAAACGACGTGACGATCATGAGGGTTATCATAAGCCTCATCACCACCCTTAGCTCATTTATTGCTCTTCTATTGTCCTCTCCCTTTCGCACTTATTCTCAATTCGAACTGCCCCCTCTTTCTCCATAGTTCCCTCTTTTTATTTCTATTATTATGGTAAAAAAAAAAAATCATTCGTTACGTACTTTTAATTATACTAGTTTTAGTGTACGTATACAAAAAAAAAATATGAAATGTAGAATAAAAATAAATTATATGTAATAGCAGTTCAACATTTCTTTAAATTCTAATAATATAGATAGATAAACATATAAATGTCTTAAGATATTTTTAAAACTTAAATTTATAATCTTTATGCACGTACATTACATCGTATTTTGTGCTATTACAAGATTCAAAAGTAAAATATTGAAAGATATATATGCCACATTTTAAAAGAGAATTTTTTTAATACTTTTTAATAAATAAAATTATCATGTAATCTAAAGTTTAAGTAAGATAGAAGCATATAAAAGACAATAAATTATATTTAAAATTTTTTTAGGAGTGAACTCACGACAATTTTTACGAAGGAGTAATGACGGTTCGTTTCTTTGATATACTTGGAAGTCGTATACAATATTTTCTTAAAAACATTTCTTAATATGTATTTTTGAAAATAGGCAATTATGTTGTACATAGAAGATAAGTAAGACTGAATTATGTAAAAAAAAAATTAATTAATTTTAATATTTAGAGGCAAATTCACGGCATAAAAATCTATAAGGAAATAAAGAAGATGTGTTTGGACGCTAGCACCCATGTGTTTATTTTGGATAATTTTTAGAGAGGTGAAAAATGTTCAAGGATTTTATTTTTTGTTTTATCTAGAATTAGACTCTGATTTAGACTATATTTATATTTTGTATAGAGTTAATCGCTTGAAATACCATATAATTCCAGAAACTCAAGAATTTTTTTTTTGATTGACTTACAAATTTAATAAATTCTATTATTAGTTAACTTCAAATTTCTAAGTATTAGTAAAGTTATACAAACTACTATCGCTTTATTCAACTTGTACATTTTTTTAGAAAATTAATTTATCATTTTAACGTAAAGTATAAACACAATCGCACAAGATATTGTGAAATGAGGTACTTCCCACAAAATTTTGGCTTTTGTTTTTTCTATCTTGAAGCATTTACAATATTGATAAAGAACCATTTTTTTAATCTTTTAAACCTTTTTTGTTTTCAAATTGAGAAGTAAAAGTAGCACGGCTCCGCTCGTTGGAATAAACTTAAAAAATTCAAAATAAGAAAAAATATTATGTTAAATACGAAAATAATTTATATAGTTTCTTACATAATTCAAATAATAAATAATTTGTATAAGTAAAATTTTATTAATTTTGAATTCTTAAATATTAGAAGTTTTTATGTAGTTCAAATAAGAAAATATTTAATAATTAAAAGTTTTAGTTAATTTCTAAGTTTTTAATATTAGAAAAATAATAATATTATGATTTTGTCCAATGAAAATCTGTTTTTAAAGGATAATATGTATTATGACCGCATTCATTTATAAGGAAAAATACTCTTTTTATTATTTAAAAAATTCAAATAGCTATGAAAAACTTGAAAGAAGCAATTTCTCATAAGCAACCACATGCACGCATCGTACAATGAAATAAAAATTTTATTTATTAATTGAAAAAGGTCATAGAATTTAAGAAACCTCATAAAATTTAGGAGAGTAAAAGTGAAACATTCATAGTTCAATTCAAAAATCAACATATTAGCTCATTCTAAACTGAAAAAAATAATTGTAAGAGATTGATGGCAATTATCATTATATCCAACATGGAATGTAACTTTATGCTAATATATTTATTATTTAAAATCAAATTTAGTCTAAAAATGATTAATTAACTCTAGTGGCGAAAAACAAATACTAAAAGTTTGAAGAACCAAATTCTCTCACTGCATATCCCTATCATATTTAGTAAAGTAGAGTCTTCTTTTAATTAATTTTAAGGTTAAATATCTATAAAAAACTTTAAAAGAAGCAATATTATCACTACATTCCTAGAGCATACCTTAAAGTTTCCATAAATTGATATAATAATGGGATTTTCCTTTGTCACAAATTAATGTGATTTTCTTTGTTATTTTTGTTACAAATTTATTATATTGCATAGCTCAAATAAGGAAGATTTAATATAAAAAAATTAGTTGATTCTGAAATCCGAAATATTAGGAAAATAATAAATATCTATATTCCTAAATATTAGAAAAATAATTAAAAGACTATTTTGTCTAGAGTGAAATCAATTTATCAAGGGTAAAAAAGACGAGCGATATTTCGCTAATTGTCTTCGTGCTTTTAATATAATATAGATAAATTAACATATTTAAATCATAGATTAAGGTATGAGTGTGCACTATTTGACTACGGTTTAGTAATATATGATCAAGACATTAGTTGTCTACTTTTGACTTTATACTCCCTTTAAGAAAAATAAGTGAAGTATGTATTTTATAATTTTACCCATAAGAATGATAGCATTTCCAAAAGTCTTGGGAAATGATTTGAGGAATGAATAGTTAATGATAAGGGTAACACATGAAAAAAGAATTGTCTTTTTCTTGATTTAATATAGTAGACAAGTAAAAGTAAAAATGTATTTTTGGTATAGTGGATAAGTAAAAATGAACTGTATGAGTAATATTTATTCATTGGATTAATATAAATAATAAGTGCGTGTAAATTTTTAATGCGTGCATCTATATATTACTCCCACTCTTGAGTACTCCTCTACTTTTTATATAACACCTTCCTCATAACCCAAAAATCAAAATTAAACACCTCTTGTAATATCCATATCTTTCCTTTTCCTTTCATAACCTTTTCTCTTAGTTTACCGCGTATCACTTTTTTTTTAATTCGTAGAATTCACTCGAGTATTATACATTGATTTCTTTTAAAATTATATCCCTTAGCTTCCTTGAGAGTTGAACCGTATATAACCAGAGCTTTATATTAGAAAGTTATAAGGAATTCTGTGGAATGAGGACGGTGTATATAAATATATAAGTTTCAATCCTATCAAATTGCTACTACTGTACAATATTCCTCATCTTAAGTGTGAGGACGTTGGTCTATCATATTACCAGTAAAATAATAATGTGCATCAGTACGAAGAGCTCGTAAAGCATCCAATCTCTTCATATTTATCCGAACATGCATATATATGAAATTTGATTGAGAATACTTGGTTTTGGGGGGGTGGGGGGTGGGGGAAAGACGATTCGCAAATATTTATTTTTAAGGCAGTGAACTAGGAAAGAAACTTTGGTACTCGTGATTTTTTTTTATTCCCCCTAGTTTCATTTTCTTTAATGGAAATATTGCTCATTTGGTGACTCGAAGGAGATTGCTGACCATCGGAGCAACCCCTTTTTTGATACTCGTGATTGCACACATAATTAAGTCACCAAAATCATAATATTTAAATCATGAATTTTCATCTTCTCCGGAGGAGGAAATGGTGATTTTGCATGAGATCTTAGGACCCATTTGTTCATAAAAAAAATAATAATTCTTTTTCCTTTTTTTTTTCCTCCAAATATGTGTTTGTCCATGAGATTTTTCAAGTTTTTGAAAAAAAATTAATTTTTTTTTCCACTCACAAAACTGTAAATTTTTTTGTGAAATGCATGTTCAAACATAATTTTAAATTTCAAACACCATTTTTCAATTTAACTTCGAGTAGTAATTTTTTAAAGAAATTAAGTACAATTTTTATGTCCAAACTCCTACTTAATTCACAATACACGTCCAGAATAGGGTGTAACTAAAGCGGGGTAGGTTAACATGCATATTTTAGGTGCAAATAGCAATGAAAATGACTGTCCTCAAAACGGAATCTTGTCTATACTCCCTATATAGGTCTCTAGTAGGTGTGTTCCCTGTGCGTGTATGTCTGTATCTCAATTCCATCTCTACTAATTACTATATATACAGCCCACTTGACTCCAATACTGAGCCATCTGAATCCTCATTATTAAGGAATGATATATCATATCCTCCATATATATTCTATTTAATTTAATAAATCTCACACACACACATATATTGTGGCAGGTATATTAATGGTGAACAGTATTCTTGAGTTTAGTGTCGTCATGAAAAATCAGTATCAACGCTACTGTTTCAGAATTTGCTTAACCATCGAATTTTTGCATGCCAAAATGGGTCAACCTCTATATTTCATGTATATATATACAGGTTAAAGCTTACAGTTACAGTAATAGGCTTTACAATATATGTCTCTAGCTACTTTTTCTTCCCCTTTCCCAAAGCACATACCAATCCCCATATATATACACTGCTTCCCTATAGGCTAGCTAGCAGAGTTTCTCTTTTTTTTTTCTTTTTGTTAACAAGATGTGTAATTTTTGCTGCAACGGTTTCGTTGTCCTTGGACTAGCCATGTAAAAAAGAGGAAGGAGCTAGATTGGATTGTTGATTCACAAACAAGTTGAGACAAGACAAAGAAAGGACACTTGGAACTGTGTGAAGACTATAAACGCCTCAGGGATCCAGGTTGCAGCTACTGGTTATGGTCCCTGT